AAGTGTTTTACATACTATCTCATTTGACCCTTACAATACCCCTGTGAGGTAGGTGTGGTTATTGTCCCCATTTTACTGATGAAGAAAGCGAAGCTGAGAGAGTTTGGGTGATTTGCCTAGGGTCACCTATCTAGAGGCAGGATTCAGACTCAGCTCTTCCTGACTCATGTCAGACACTCTATCCACTGTGGCGCCTCTCTGCTCTCTAAGACTCCAGGGGAAAGTAGGTTCAAGCTTAGGACATACATGATGAAGAAGGTAATAGCTTCCAGAAGGTGCTTTTCCCCTCTTGCAGTCCCCAAGACTTTCCTTCCATATGGTACAGCTTCTCTGCTAGGCTCCTTGTACAGTCCTCAATGTGCCTAGTTTGTCCTGATCTCCTGATGGAGACATTTCTGACGGCTGCCACTGTCCCAGGGACGCTGCCAGGAGACTAATGTAAAGCTCCACATACTATAACTCTTCAATTCCCACAGGGACTCCTCTGATCCAGGCTGGAGGAGAATGAGCCAAGACTAAGGCACACCCCCCTCCACTCCCACTCTCCTGACCCACTGGATTCCTCTGCTGGGGTTTGTCTGCAGTCTTCTACCACTGACCTATTAGATACCATGTTCCCCAATGCCAACTCACTCACTGGCTTTTCACACGGACAGGACCAAGCCCCTCAACCATTCTCAACCTATTCCTTGCAAAGATCCCTAAACTGATGAGAGCTTTTTTTTTTCACGTATTCTAAATCCTCTGGTTGATTGACATGACCAATCCTTGTCCATATCTAGTGATGTCCATGTCTAGTCATCAATGTCTTCTCCACATTTCAAGTATGAAGGCATCTTATTATTTTCTGAAAATCAGGTAGGAGAAATCTTCCAAGCTGAGCCTCACTCTACCATGGCATCTGATGGGAAGAGACAGTCAAAATAAAAGGACAGAGGGACAGCTCTGAGATAAAAGACCTGGGTCCACATTCTGCTTGGGACACAAGGGCTGTGTGGCCTTGCAAAAGTTACTTTCCTAGTGTCCCAACTACACTTCAGGAGGAGTAGCTCATTTGGAGTCAGAGGACCTGGCTCTGCTATGAACTACTACTTGCATGGCTTTTGGCCACTTGACTCTGTGGGCCTCAGTTTCCCCATCTGTAAAATTGGGATGTGGTGAGGGTGGACTTGATGATCTCTGAAGTCTCTTTCAGCTCTTCATCTAGCATTCTGGGAAGGTGTGGTTGGTCTGCATCTGTGAAGGGAGGCTCCCAGTGAAGGGGGGAGTATGTATATGCGCATATGTTTGTGGAGAATTTGGGGAGGGACTCTGTCTCAGCCAGAGTCCAGCAGCTTTCTCTAGGCATGAGCAGTGAAAACAGGCTTTCCTCTTCTGTAGGTTAGCGCAGGGAAAGTGGGCAGTGAGTGAAGGGTGAGGCTTGCAGCCCTAGGGAAGAGGGGCAAAGACCCATCCTGGTCTTGGAGGGAGGGCAGTACAGCAACCCTGGACTGGCCATGGAAGGAGGCAGAAGCAAAGTGGCTGGGAATGAGGGAGAGGCACTTGGGGGAGGGGGTGGTAAGACCACCAGCCCACTCTGCCTGTTCTTGGGAAAGTCCCCTCATCTCTTCAGCCTGAGCTTCTTCCTCTACTAGGAGTATTTGGCGGCCAGGTAGCCAGGCACGGGATGTTTGCTGCTGACTCCTGAGGCTCTCTAGGTACCTGGCTAAGGCGGCCTGCGCTGGAAAGCCGCTCTATTCAGCCACAAGGTGGCGCTCGTGGCACAGGCATTCGACTGGGCTCTCCGGCGGCCTTCCAAAACTCCCCCATGCTCGCTCCGTGCCTCTGCCACTAGGTGCGTGGCGTTGGGCTGGGCTGGAGAGTTCAAACTTTCTCCCCCCCAACCTCCTGGGGCTTGGTAGGGGTCTTATCTGGGGAGGGCAGAGAAGAACTCGAGTTTGCAGACCCCTTTAGGGGAAGGGGGCTTCCCAGACCCCCCTCGCCCCCCCCCCCGCTTTGCTCACCTAAGAACCTGAGGGAGGAGGCGGGAGAGAACTGAGTGGGAACCGAGAGTCAGAGCTGGTGCCCCTGACCCTGCCACGGGCACTCACCCACCGTGCCCCGAAAGGAGGGAGGACAGAGGCTCCTCCTTCCCCATCCCCCGCTCCCTACACGTCGTGTACATCCAGACACACGAGCACACGCGCCTTGGGATGGGGAGCAGGAGTACGGCCACTGATGGGACCGAAAGGAAGGCCAGAGTTGGACTGACCCGGAAGCAACAGCTGCCCAGCAGCGGTTACACCTGGGGCCAGGGGAGCAGGGGAAGCGGTGGGCAGCGAGGAGAAAAGAGGGGCTGGCCGATGGCAGAGGAAGGTGGAGTTCGTGAACCCAGGAAGAGCACACACACACACACACACGCAGTTGTTGAAGAATTAAAAAGAAGCAGGAGGGGTTGGGGAGGGGTAAGACTGTGGCTGATTGCGCTTTTGGACAAAGCTGCTGGCAATTTGGCCTGGCCGACGGAGGTGCGGGTGGCTCGCTGTCCACTCTTAGAGCTCCGGACCTGAGCCACGCTTAACTCAGCTTCTTTCGCGGCAGAAAGGTGCAGACCAGCCAGGGCCCAGACCCTCAGAAGAGGCTCTGGAGACTTGAGCCGCGAGGGTCCTGGGGCCGCCTAACCTGCTGTCAGCGCCCTTGGCGAATTTTCCCTCTCCTAGACGCTTAGCCAGCGCCGGGCAGTCTCAGTCTCCACTGACGAGACCCAGGTTCGGAGTAGTAGTGGAGCAAGCACTTTGAGGAGCTCGGGCTGGGGCGTGGCTGTGGCCAGGCAAGGCGCCTGGTTCCGCTCCTTGGTCCCGGGGCTGGGAGAGTGTGGGTTCCGATGAGGGAGCTCCAGGCCAGCAAGGCCGAGGGTCTTGAGACTATTGTCCGAACTTGCCCGCGTTCTCCTTTTAGTCTTGTTTCGTATTTAAAGCCAGAACTTGGGGAGAGTCGTCTTTTCCTCTCTTCCACCTTCCCTAGAGCAGTTTTTTCTTGGGGGCGGGGGGTCCTGTCTAGTGGAAACAATGAAGACCACAGCTCCTTACACACAGGCGCTAGAGGGCTCACACTCAGACCCCGAGCACACACTGGCCTAAAGTGGACAGTCCTTCTGGAAAAGGGTTCCCGCCTGTCGGAGAAGCTGCGAAAAATGTACTCCATGTATCTTCAACTCCCGGCCCTGCTTCTTGGGGCAGAGGGAGATGGAAAAAAGGAAGGTGATTTCTGAGACTTTGAAAGCGCAGCCTAACCCGAGATAGGTCCGAAATCCCTTTTAAATCTCTCTCTCTCTGTTTTTCTTCTCGCTTTCTCTGTTTCTCTGTCTGTCTCTGTCTCTGTCTCTGTCTGTCTGTCTGTCTGTCTGTCTGTCTGTCTGTCTGTCTGTGTCTCTCTCTCTCTCTCTCTCTCTCTCTCTCTCTCTCTCTCTCTCTCTCTCTCTCTCTCTCTCGTGTTAAGAAAGGAACTGGCAGGCGGGAAGGTGATGGGTTGCGGCGGTAGCGGCAATATTCAGGGACAGTTAAGAAGATGATGGAACAACGAGGCCAGGGCCTACAGACCGAGAGACGAGGCATTCCCAGGGTCTTCTCCTGGATTGTAGAAATGGAAGGACCCAGGGCCTAAGGCTACAGTGAGGCCGCTGTGGCGCCTGGACACAGAAGGAGGGATGGAGCGACTTTCCTCGAGCTCCCTCTCACAGCTTGGCCGGCTGGCGCCGGCTTTGGTTTCCTCCACGTTTTCTCTTGGTGCAAATGGAAGTACCAGAGACCAGGTTGAACGGTCCACGGCTTCAGAACTTTTAGGATTGTTGGAGCTCGGTGAGCCAGGGAGAGAGAAGGGGGACATGAAGCAAGAGGAAGAGGGGGAAAAGAGGAACAGACTCCTGCAAAGATAGCTCCGCCAAGCCTAGCTTTGGGGTGGGGGAGTTCTTCACTGGACTTAAATCCATGGACTGGGAAAGCTTAAGGAGCCGCTTATGTCCCAGTGCGGCCCAGAGTGTGTGATGTGTGTGCCCCTGCGTGATGTGATTCCGTGCGGAGGTGCGTGCCCTGGTGTGCACCCACCCACAGCTCAGTGAGGGCCTCTTAGCCAGATGTGTCTCGGAGAAGGAAATGCTTCATCTAGCTTCCCCGAATTTGAAATTCCCCAATTTGACGATCCCCATTGACCAACCTCTCTTCGAGAAATGAAGAACTCTGCTTCTCTCTGCCTGGTCTGCCCCACGCCAGACCCCAAGCTTCGTCCCCACCCCTTGTCAAGGCTCCCTGCTCCCCAGGGCACTGGCGCCCTCGAACCCGGAGCCAGCCTTCCTTCAAGATGGTGTCAATGCGAGAAAGTGCGCATATGTGTGCTTGTGTTCCAGTAAGTGTCTGAGTCTTTCTCCGTGTGTCCGAGTGTGTCTTGCCGAGTGGGTCAAATGCTAGGGCAGGGAAGGAGGGAGCTCCTGCGAGGTCCCTCTGGGAACCCTCCTCCATCCCACACTCCGTATCACACAGACTCTACTCTCTCTCTCTCTCTCTCTCTCTCTCTCTCTCTCTCTCTCTCTCTCACACACACACACACACACACACACACACACACACACACACACACACACCACTTTTTTTTTAAGCCCAGCTTTGTCAAGGAGCTGAACGAGTTGGGTGAGTTCGAGTGTCGCTGCTCCCGACGGCTCTGGCCAATGGAACCCGATCCACCCCGCTGTGCGTAAGCGCTCAATTAAGGATTTAACCAAGGTTAGGCTGCGTCCCGCCAGCAGTCTACCCGAGCCCGAGACTCGGAGGCTCCCAGCCTCCTCGCTGCCGCCGCCGCCTCTTTTCTTCCTCCTCCTCCTTTTCTTCCTCATCTTCCTCCTCCTCCTCCTCCCCCTTCTGCACTCCCGCCTCCTCCTCCTCCTCCTGCTCTCCTGCCTCCTCCTCTTCCTCCTCCCTCTCCAGTACCCCCGCCTCCTCCTCTGCCTCCTCCTTCTCTGTCTCCTCCTCTCCCACAGCCATGTCTGCTTAGACCGAAGCAGCCCCAAGAGCGAACTCGAGCCTCCGCCACTGCCGCCTCCTCCTCTTCCAGAGAAGCCCGGAGCCTCCGCCCCCGCAGCCACAGCCACTTCCACTGCCTGGGTGTCTGCCTCCGCCACTGAACTATGACCGGGGTGTTTGACCGGAGGGGTCCCAGCATCCGCTCCAGTGAGTTCCCCGCTCCTTTTCAGACGGCCGCAGCCATGCATCACCCGTCTCAGGAGTCGCCCACTTTGCCAGAATCCTCGGCCACAGATGCCGACTATTACAGCCCGGCGGGGGGTGCCCCGCACGGCTACTGTTCGCCCCCAGCAGCTTCCTACGGCAAGGCACTGCATCCTTACCAGTATCCCTACCATGGCGTGAGCGGGGCCGCAGCCGGGCCGCCGCCCGGCACCTACCCCGCCAAAGCGTACGCGGACTACGGCTACACCAGTTCCTACCATCCCCAGTACAGCGGGGCTTATGGTCGGTCACAGAGCTCCTCGGGCCAGCCAGGTGAGGACCGGGCCAGGCCGGGTGGAGAGCCTTGGAACGGGCGGGGGCTGGGGAGGGAACCAAGAGAGAGGTAGAGAGAGCTCAGGGGAACACGAGGTGGACGAAGAAAGAACTGAGAGGAGAGAGGGGGTTGCTCCCCTCGGAGCAAAGGGGGTGACAGACGAGGAAGGGGCAGCCAACAGATAAATCGAAAAAGGTCCAAGGTCTTCTGGTTGTAGGTTGCCTCTATTTGTGGTTAGACCCCCACTTTCTGGGCTAGCCCAGCTTGGAGGGTCGCCGCTTCACAGCTGCCGGCAGGGGCTCAAGAGATGACTTGGGCAGAAAGAATCCCAATGCCGGCAAGATTCAGTAAAGAAGACTGGTGGTGGGAGGGGGGAGCGGGGAAAAATGTTGCTGGGCTTGGGGCACTGAGCTCAGAGGAGAAAACCAGCTAGGCCCTGGGCCAGTATGAGGGCAGCTGTGGGTGCCCAGCACTCTCCGCCTGCGCCCGAGGCGCGTCAGACTGCATCTGCTGAGCGAAGTCAGTTACTCGGGCGCAGGAGCTCCGAGAACGCAGTTGACTTTTTCAGCTCAGCATTTGCAGAAGCCATCTAACCATCTGTGGTGTGTGTGTGCGTGGCCGAGTAGGTAATGTTAGTGTGTTCTCTCCTCTCGACCACCTCCCCCCTACACACAGAGAAATACACACACACACACACACACACACACACACACACACACTCCTTTCCTCCCTCCCAGGCTGGTTTCAGAACTTGCGGGCTCCGGAGCTTGGGCGGCGGCGGCGGCTCAGCAGTCAGAAGTGGGGGGTCTTTGTGGGGAGGTTTTTCTGATGGGCTTTGAGCTCTTCCCACCCTCAGTATATGAATAATCCTTCTAATATTAGCATCCCTTAGCTGGCAGAAGCAAACCACAGCCTTCTCTCGGCCTCCAGCACCTCCTCCCAACCAGGAGCTGTGCTGAGTGCATATACCACACATACACCACACAAATACACACACACACGGCACACAACACAAGAGTTATTTCTCTGAAGTCTCACCAAGTTGGGAAATGAGGTCTCTGATAAAATCGTTTCTGGGGGGCGGGAGGGACTGTTGCCGTAGGGATGCTTCTTGCCATAGAGAGGGCTCTTTGTCTCTCAATTCCTTCTCCCCACCCCTCTCTCTTCTTTACTGGTGTTTAATGCTCGGCAGATCGCAAGACGCCCTGGAGGTTTTTTTTTTCTCGGCCTTCCCGCATTTTCCTTTTCTTACGAAGGCTCTCAATCTTCTCTGCAGCTCGCGCGCTGTCTGTGGCTCCGCACGTTTGTCTGTCCTGCTCCTCCCCAACCCCTGCTTTTTGCTTCCCTTTACTCAGAGCCGAGGAGCCGGCCAGGCTTGGTTTCTTCCACTGTCTCTCTGTTTCGTTCATTAAATGAACGACACCCCCCACTTTTTTTCTTTTTTTCTTTTTTCTTTTTTTTTGCCAAGGGCTTATTAAGTCTATTTGTAAAAGAAACCAGACGCATCTGTGTCCTAGCCGATCTGCAGGGAGATTATGGGCCTGGGATAATCAGCCCTCTGTCTGGGGCAGCTCAGCTCAGAGGAAGGAGCCCCGCGTGCTTGCTTGCGGCTCTGTGAACTTGGTAGACCTCGGCTCGCGGCCTCTGGGTCAGCGAGTGTGGGCTCCGAGGACGGTGGGCGGCGGCAGAGTCCACACCAAGTTCTGGACCCGTCGCATACAGTGACCGGCTCTACTCTGTCCGTCCCCGCCACGTGAGGGAAGGAGGAGGCGAAAATAGTCCCCAAAAGAACGCGGTGCAGGAGGTGGGCAAGGCTCACGATACCCAGAGAAAGCAGCCGGGTTGAACAGACAGAGGAGGCAGGCCAGTCCGAAATCTATCTGACCTGACCTGGCCTTTCTGCCACTTAGAGAGGAGAAAGAATGTGGAGTAAAGGAGGGAGAGTATTGTTGGGAAGAAAACCCTGGACTCTGGGCTCCAGGGGACTTTGGCGGGGCCCTGCAGCGCCCTATTAGCTCCAGTCTCTGGAAGGTGAGGCCAGGCATGCGGGCAGGAAGCTGCCTACTTCCTCAGCGGGGCCCTAACCCGCTCTGTTTTTGACGGTTTAGACAAAGACGCTGCAGAGCCCGAGGTGAGGATGGTGAATGGCAAGCCCAAGAAGGTTCGCAAACCCCGGACGATTTACTCCAGTTTTCAGCTGGCTGCCCTGCAGAGGCGGTTTCAGAAGACCCAATACCTCGCCCTGCCCGAACGCGCCGAACTGGCGGCTTCTTTGGGCCTCACGCAGACACAGGTAAAGCCAGAAGCCCGTTGGGCTCCCTAGCCAGGGATCCTGACCTGGAGCCATCGCTCTCCCTCCCACCGCCCCCCGTTCCCCCAGTCCCTACCTACATTCAGAGCTCTGGCTTCTGAGTTGAGCAGTGAGAGCCCAGGCGATGCACCCTACCAGTTCTCAATTGGCAGGCACCTCCGGGCCCCTCTTACTTCTGGCTCCCCAGGCCTTTGCAGTGAGGTGGTACGTGCTGGTAGGTGCTCATCCCAGAGCTGGCGGCCCCCCACTCCAGCTCTAAACCGATGGGTCCTCTTTCCTTGGAGCGGGGGTAGGACTTGGGCAGCCGGGTAGCCCGGGACGGGGGCCTTGGGGGCCCACACTGTGTAGGCAGAAACAAAAGAACCACCCAGCTCTGGTGCTAGTCGGGCTTCCCTGGGAGCAGGAGGAGCGTGAGGGTCTTGGGGTCTTGGGGTTCATCTCGTCTCCTAACAGCGCCCTTCCCTCTGCCCTCCTAGTGTAAAGGCCACGAAGGTCCCTCGAGCCCCCGAGCCCGTGGCTGGACAGAGGCAGCTCTGTCCGTCGGCCCACATGGCCTCTTGTCCATCCGCCCTCTTGCTCCCCTCTCCTACTGATAGTCTGCCTCCTGACTACCTGCCTGCCCAGCTGTCGTCCTGTCGGTTCTCTTTTCCTGGGGCTTTCGAGGCCGCAAAATTGACTCTGCGCAGCCTCTAGGCGCCTGTTTTCTCCTTTCCTGTCCCCTCTTAAAGGTCATCTTGGTGACTTCCTGCAAACCGATTTCCACTCTCTCCGCCCCCTCTACCTACCACGCACACGGACATACACCTACCCACAACCAGCGGCCACCAGGAGAAAAGAGGCCGTTTCCCCCTCTTTTGTTCCTTTGCTCCTTTTCCTACTCCTGGGACGTGGGTGGGAGGGAGAACCTCGGGAATAAGCAGGAAGGGCTGCCTGGCTTGAAGAGAGGCGGCGAGGGATCGGGGAGCTTCTAGGTGTCTGGTCTCTAGCGTTTGCCCAAGCCGGGTAGCTGGCGCACCCGGGAAAGAAGTGGAACCCGGGTCGAGCGCCAGAAGTAGCCCTACTGAGCCAGGTGTCCTGGAGCTACCAAAGCCAGGGAGAGGAAAAAAGACCGGGAGAAAAGGAGAGAGGCGAGGAATAACACGAATCGCTCTGGTTCACAGCCCCTAGCTTTGTATGATGCGGGCTCTGGTTCGTATGAGGAAGGAGGCTCGGGGACTGGAGTGTGAGTGGGGGCAGAGGGGAAGCGTGCCGCCCTGGCTGGCCCAACCGCGACAGCGAAGGAAGGCGCGGCGGGGGTCATTTAGCCAGAGGTCACCACAGACCTCAGGCCGCTCAAACCCCCCCTCCCAGACTATTCTCGTAATCGCTGCATTTGTTCCCCCTCTCAGGTTAAAATCTGGTTTCAGAACAAAAGGTCCAAGATTAAGAAGATCATGAAGAACGGGGAGATGCCGCCGGAGCACAGCCCCAGCTCCAGTGACCCCATGGCATGTAACTCTCCCCAATCTCCAGCTGTGTGGGAGCCTCCGGGTAGCGGGGCAGCAGCTCGCTCTCTTGGCCACCACCCTCACGGCCACCCTCCAGCTTCCAATCCGTCCCCTGCCTCAAGCTACCTGGAGAACTCGGCGTCCTGGTACCCTGGGGCCGGTTCCCTCAATTCCCACCTCCAGCCGCACGGCTCCCTACAGCATCCGCTGGCGCTCACCTCCGGGACGCTTTACTAGAGAGACAGGAGTGGGCGCAGCCCCTTGCCCTCGCGCCAGCCGCTTGCGCTCTGCCTCTGTTGCCCGGACTCCCATATTTTGCTGTTTTAGGAATATTAATGAAAGGAATGCGTGTGGGGAAGTGTTTAAAAACCAACAACCGGAGACCCAGATTCGCGTGTAAAGCTTGTGCATGTAAGTTATTGCATTTCAAAGGACCCCCTCCCCCTTTTTTATAGACGAACTTTTTGCGCATCCGTGGACACTATCAATGGTGCCTTGAAATCTATGACCTCAACTTTTCAAAAGACTTTTTTCAATGTTATTTTAACCATGTAAATAGGTGTAGATAGAGGAATTAAACTGTATATTCTGGACAAATAAAATTATTTCCACCATGAATACAGAATGTCTGGGGAGATATTCTTTCTGACTTTCAGATAATTGTCTGGAGATGCTTCATGAAAGCCGTTGGGGGGAATCTCTGAGAGACCTGGAAGGGCCCCTGGGAAGCACCTGGCTCATTTGGGTCCTGGAACACGGCGATTTGTGTGGTGTATAGGACATAGGCTCCACTGTCTATAACTTCACTGGAACAATGGACCATGGTTTTTATTTCTGCCACATAACACGTACAAGCAGAGAGAGAGGCTTACTGGGGTTTATGGATCTGGCCACAAGATACTGGCGGATCTTGTCGAGCTTAACCTCGAACTAGCTCTGATGAAGAGAAGTTCGGAAGCTGTAATTCTCTACCCCTACCCCAACCCTAGGCCCCTCCAGTGGGGCGAGCCTCCGGAATTCGGAACTCAGCACAATGAGAGCAGCAGTGGTAGCAGTAACCAGAGCAGTTAGGCAGATTACACTGGGCCCCAAGCAAGCTGGAGAGCAAAGCAAAGAATAAAAATGAGGGTCTACTTTGGCTCTGCCTGGGAAGAGGAGGAGGAGGAGAAAGAGGAGGAGGAGGAGGAAAAGAAGAAGAAGAAGAAGAAGAAGAAGAAGAAGAAGAAGAAGAAGAAGAAGGAGGAGGAGGAGGAGGAGGAGGAGGAGGAGGAGGAGGAGAGGGAGAAGAGGAAGAAGAGGAGGAGGAGGAGGAATAAGAGATAAGAGGTCTCAAACATTTTGAGTGTTTTAATTACATTTTAATTGTTACATTACTGGTAATATTAATAACAGTACTTTGCAGGAGCTCTTTCAGACAATGGGAAAGGCAGCTTTGCCCAGTGCCCCTGTCTCTCCTGGTGTCAGTTTTAGGCCAGTTTCCCAGGCAGTGCCCAGAGGATGAAGCTGGGTGTCTGAGGGGGGATGTTTGGGAGACCTTCAGTGCTAGAATGACCTTCATTTCCAACGATGAGAGCAGCATTTCCCCTAATTCACAGCTCTGGTGTGGCACTGGACAGCTAGACAATTCAATCAGGGTGCTTCAGAGTGTCATTATTGAGGGCAGAATAATATGGGTAGCATTTAAATCTCTTTCTTTCATAACTCCTTTGTTACAGGAAAGGAAGCTTGGAGCTTGTCTAGTGCCTTGGCAAAGCAGATCCCCCAAAGCCAGAAACTAAAACAAAGCCTGGGGTCAGTCTGGGCCCTGGCCCTGTCTCCCCCTTCACCTCTGTGTCTGTCTGTCTTTCTGTTGGGCTTTGTCTGTCTGCTTGTCTGTCATCTTTATTTGTTGTCTATCTCTTTGTCTGTCTTTGTCTGTCTTTATCTGTCTGCCTGCCTGTCGGCCTTTATTTGTTTTTCTGTCACTAGGTGTGATTCTCCCTATTGCACAGTCTACAGAGATGGCTCAGACATTTCCCAGTCTCTACCTGGGCCTGGCACCAGCTGTTTCCTATTTTGCCTCCTGTTTCCCTGTTAGCAAAAGAAACTCGGAGCTGTAAATTCAAGGATTCAGAGCTGGCTCTGAGGAAGCCAGCCAGTCCCTGGATGGCAAGGGCTGGCAAAGGGTAGCTGTCCTTGGTTGATTGTTTGGTAGGTTGCTTGATGGCTGTTGGTGGTGGTGGTGGCGGTTAGGATTAGAGCTTGAAACATCCCCAGCCCTGATGGGAACTGGAAAAGCAGGGCCTAAAAGACTGACTTCGGCCTTGATGGTGATGAGCCCAAGTGCCAAAGCCCTCACCTCCTACTTGCTCAACATTTAAGTCTTGCTGCCAGCTCTACCTCTCTGCCTGCAGGGCCACCTCCTGACCCAGGCTCTCTCAACTTTGCTTCCTGGACCAACCTGGTTTAAGTAGAGGCTGCGAGACTCTCGAATTGGGATTTGGTTTGATTTTATCTAGTTTTGTTTCGTTTTGCCTTTTTTTTTTAAGTTAAGCGTATTATTAGCTGGCCTGGACATCGGGCCTTGTAGCAGCTTAGGGCGGAGTGCAGGAAGCCTGGGGGCCCAGGCAGCACAGTTTCACAGATGTCCATTTGCAAAACCTGAGGGCCAACTTCTACCTTGACTCTCAGCCATCCCCCGTTGCCCAGGGTCCATCGGGAGCAGCCCCCTCCTATGTTCCCTGGAGCCAAGTGACCCGATGATGTTCTGGACAGAGCCAGATTCGGGCCTGACTCTGGGACACTCCGTGAGCGGGAGGAAGAAGGACGAAGGCTGTCACCCCCCCCCCCGTGACAATGAGGAAGGACAAGGGAATTACTATGGCACACAGAGCAGGTGGAACTCCATTTTTCTCTCAGGGCTGGCTGAGCACCTGAAGTCTACACGGGCCCTGTTGTTATCTGCTACAAGTGTGCGTGGGTGCGATGGTGTGGGTGGTCCCGCGTGGGACGCACAGCTCTCCAAGCCTTGCACTTATTGATGTGACCAACCACTTTCCGTTTCTGGCTTTGGACACCAGATTTTTCATCACCGTCCCCATCCCTGCCCTCCACACACTCAACCTCCCCTTCTGCCTTCTAGCCTCCCCTTCTCCTCCTCCTCTTAGACTTAGGCTGAACTCCCTCTGCTCTGGGCTCTTCCGAGGCACAAAGAAAGGGGGAGGGGCAGGAGAGGGGTGCATTTCTTAGCTCAAGCTAGGGCGCTGCTGGCTGCTGCTGGGAGGGAGACCTCCGGTGACCGGGAGAGAGAGAGAGCTGAGGGGCCCGCGGCTTCCCGGGAGCTGCCCAATCGCGTGGCCAGCCAGCTCCGAGCCAGGCCACCTGGGCACTTGAACTCCGGGGAAGGGTCCAAAGGGTTCCTTCGTGACTCTGCTGGTTTGGGGGTTGGTGCGCTCCCTTTGAGTTTGCTTTGTTTTTCTTCTCTTATTCCTGTAGTTCCCTTTCTTCCCATTTCTTTGGCACGGTCCACGAGTGGTGGACAAAAATACCCCAGCAGAAGCGCCAGGAGACCGGTTCCCCGAGACAGCAGGGACAATGAGACTTCTCCGCGAGGACCTGGGGCCCCTGGAGTCTCCAGCAACGAGACATAAAAATAACCCGATGGCAGCAAAGCCAGCTTCCCAAAATATCGCCAGGATGTGGCTTCGCTCCCCGACCCTGGTCTATGGAGTTCTGTCTCGTTCTCTCCGTCTCTGTCTCTGTCTCTGTGTCTTTTACTTCCTCCTCATCAGTCTTTCTGTGTTTGTGTTTCTTCTTTGTTTCTTTCGGTTTCTCGTGTCTCTCTCGATCTTTCATTATCTCTTCTCCTCCCTTCTGGTCTGAAGGGGTTTTGGTCTCCAGCGCACACTGTGTATGTTGAGGTTGATGGTACGATGTGAGGGGGAGGAAAAACCCAGTTATGTCGTTAGCTGCCCCTAATCTGCGGCTGCAGGGTGGGTGGGACTCCTGGTATGACCCCCGCCGGGAGGGGGTGCAATTCCCCCGGCCCAGACTGTGCTGCTCCCCTTTCAAGCCTACTGTGCAGAAGGCTTGGGGGGCGGGCAGAAAGGTCCCCCCTCACCTTCTCCCCTAAGCGCAGAGCTTCCTCAGGCTTCTTTCACTGAAAAGGGGGTGCAGGAAGCGAACCGGGAGGAACCAAGCTGAGCCCCACAGAGCCGATCTGGTTGGAGCAAGATTAGCTCCGATACCCCAAATCTTGTTGGGAGGGATCAGATGAACTACCTTTGTTCCTTCCTCCCCAGCTGGGCTGGGTTGGGCTGGACTTATTTCGGCTTCTTTTCTCTTTCTGCTCTTCATTCTTCTTCCCTCCTCCCCGCCCCGCCCCCGCCCTCCCCACCCCTCCGCCACTGCTCCCTCTGAATGGAGACGGGGGCAGCCCAGGGAGCTGAGAGGAGCCGCATTCCTGCGGGTGCCAGGCGGCTCCAGGGCTGAGCCACAGGGCCTGAAGCACAGACCCACACGCACAGCCCCCAACCCTGGCCTCTGCCGCTGCCCTGGGACTCGCTCCCTCCCTCCCACCCGCCTTCATGTCGGGGCTCCCATCCACCCCTGGAGAGCCATTCCACAGAGATACAGATTCATTCTGCTTGGCACAGACCTTGCCCCTGGGAAAAGAACCTTTAACAGATGCCACCCACCCCCTTGTTGCACTGCTACTTACCTTTGCCTCAATCTGTCTCTCTGCCTCTCTGTTTTTGTTTGTCTGTCTCTGTTTCTGTTCTTCCATCCCTCTGTCTCTGTTAGTCTGTCAGTCTCTCTCCCTCTTTATTTCTCTCACTGTGTCTCTCTATTTCTGTTTCTGTCTGTCTGCATCTGTCTCTCACTCTCTCTGTCTCTCTCTCTTCATCTCTGTTTGTCAGCCTCCCCCCCCAACATATACACATATTCGCATATCCTGTCAAACATGCTTCCAGTCTCAAAACGAAGGGCCCACTGTATCTGCCTTTTCTTTCCCTTCTCCTCCCACTCTCCCACCCTTACCCCAATTCCAACCCTCCCAAAACAGCACTTCCCCCACCCCCACCCCACTTAGCCCACAGCCTCAGATGCCAGCTCAACTCCTCTGGTCTCTCTGATCCCAAGAGATTCCCCTTTGGCAACAACTTCCAGCCAGCTGCCTTGAAGGTCACCCACTAAATCAGAGAGCCCAAGCTGGGCCCTGACCTTCCCTTCTACGGAAAGCACCCCTTTTCCCATTTCAATCTACTGGCCCAGGGCTTCTGGCTGTCAATACTCCAGGGCTCTAGTATCTATACCCACATGGACTTGTATCTACGGTAAGGGAGGGGAGGCTGTGTAGGGCGCTATGCAGTTTCCCTTGCCTACACACATAACTTTAGGCCTAGCCAAGGTCACTTGGCCTTAGTAAAGGTCACTTGGCTTGGACTGAAGGAGAGATCCTTAGAGTGGAATAAAGGCACCTAATGGATTGGAGAAAGTTGAGCCTGCTTCCAGCCCTGATCTCCCCTCCATTCCCCAAGCAAGTAGCTCCTGAGATGGGGATCTCAGTGACCAAGCATGACCTTGACACCGGCAGTCCCAATTCAT